AATTTTTATTAACACGGAGGAGATGGATTGTTTAAGTTTAGAGTTTGGAGTTAGAGATATTAATATTTGTTTACTTGTATTTGAATATTAGCCTAGGTTTGGTTTGGGAAGTCCGGGGGGTGGGGGGATGGGATATAACATTGTGTAATATCTGTGATGTATTTCTTTTCTTTTATGATAAAAATAATAAAATTTTATACCACAATCAGTATTAGGGCAGGCTAGAAATATTGCTAAAACCCAAAGTTACGCAAAGATCTGATTTCATTGGCCTGATATAGAAACACCTCACTAAAGCCATCCTCACCTGTAATGTTTATCCAGTATCCTTAATGCAAAAAGGCTGCTTAAATCCTGCATTTCTTGATTTGGGGCAAGACATTCATTCCCCCCTCCCCTCTCCAGGGCTGGTGGAAAGAGGACCTCCTTGGCACCACAGCTCAAAGCAGCCCAGGTGGTACCAGGAGAACCGTCACATGGGAAAGTAACCCACTGAGAAGAACACAATCTTGCTACGTGGCTTACTTCAGATCTCTCGGTCAACAGGGCTGGTGGGGGCTCTATATAGTACGAGTACCTGGGTTGCTATTCTGTTTATTATTCAAATTATTCAAACTTGGACTTGCTTACAATGCAGGAGCTTTTACTGTCGTAGAAGTGAGAGAGTCTTGCTCCAGGGACACTGTGGACATCCAGAGGTTCTTTGGCTGCAACTGGCCACGATCCCTGGCCCGCAGCACTGCCCGGACCCCTCACTTTGGGGAGGCATCTTTTGGGAAGGATCTCAGCGCTTACCTTGGTTCCCTCCGCTCTTCTTTGAGTACCTCTTTGTCCTCCTGCCTTTGGCTGCTGCTTTCAGAGACGGGCTCCACCTGGCTGACTCTGAAAGAGAGCCACACACAGGCCCAGGCCCAGGATTAGGGGGCTCCTAGTCCTGAGAGAAGCTGGCTGGATCAGCCCATTGGCCACAACTCATCCCAGCATAAGGGGCGGCGGGGGGGGGGGAGAACTATGAAGGCTTCTTCTATAGGTGCTGCTCAGGTGGTGTGTGTGTGTGTCAGGATGGCCTCCCCCAGAAAGAAAGCATGCCTCCATTCTGCCTTCTTTGACTTGCGATCATAACTGAGCCTGGCAATTACAGACATAAATTATGACAGTTGTGTAAAGCAGGTCATCAGGTGACCCAACTACATTGTAGGATCTTTTCTGCGGCGGTCAATAAGCGAACACAACAGTCGTTAAATGAACCCATTGCTATGGGTTTTAATGGAAATCGGCATCAATGTGGGATGCTGCAAACAATTGTAAATGTGCATCTGTTACCAAGTCACCACAATGCAGTCCTGCGACTGTGGGCTGGGGGGACGGCAATCAGAACTTCAGAACTGGGTCTGAAGTACCTTTGGAGGGTCCAAAGTAACTTCCAATGGTCGATAAGCGGCAGGTCATAAGTCAAGGACCACCTGTAATGTCCTGATTACTTGGGCATAAAGTGGCCTTACATTACTTGGTCCAGCTGTGTCCCCAGCTGCCTCCCACCCAGCTCTGATGGCCATCCCACCCCGGCAGCCCACATGGTCAAGGGCAGAGAGTGCCAAGCTTGGCCACTTTAAGGCTTGTGGACTTCAACTCCCAGAATTGGGGAATTCTGGGAGTTGCTGAAATCCCCAAGTCTTAATGTTGCCATGCTGGCTGGGGAATTCTGGGATTTACTGAAGTCCCCAAGTCTTAATGTCACCTTGCTGGCTGGGGAATTCTGGGATTTACTGAAGTCCCCAAGTCTTAATGTCGCCAGGCTGGCTGGGGAATTCTGGGATTTATTGAAATCCCCAAGTCTTAATGTTGCCAGGCTGGTTGGGGAATTCTGGGAGTTGAAGCCCCCAAATCTTAATGTCGCCAGGATGGCTGGGGAATTCTGGGATTTATTGAAATCCCAAAGTCTTAATGTCGCCATGTTGGCTGGGGAATTCTGGGAGTTGAAGTCCCCAAGTCTTAATGTCGCCAAGCTTGCTGGGGAATTCTGGGATTTATTGAAGTCCTCAAGTCTTAATGTCATCTTGCTGGCTGGGGAATTCTGGGAGTTGAACTCCCCAAGTCTTAATGTCGCCAGGCTGGCTGGGGAATTCTGGGATTTATTGAAGTCCCCAAGTCTTAATGTTGCCAAGTGTGGAGAGCCCTGCTATAGTGGCAACTCGCCAGTGGAGAGAAACCAGCTGTTGAAACTGCCCGCAGGTGAGGCTTCCTTCCTCCAGTGACAGCCAGCCAGCCACAGGGGCCCACAGGGTAACCCACCCCTCACCTGCCAAGGTCTTACCTGGCAATGGAGGGGGGTGCCCCCGGATGCTGTTTTCGGAACCAGGTATGATGGGAGCGCTGGCTCTCCTTCTGGCTGATGCGCCCCTCCCCGTGGTGGTCTAGAGTCAGGAAGGCCTCCCGTGCCCGCTCCCTCTCTTTGCCCGTCAGCAGGCCCAGCAGCCCCTCCTGGGGAGGGAAGCAAAGCAGGAGAGGCTGCACGGAGGGTGCGGGACCCCCACCCAAATCTTCTGGCCTTTGCAGGGATAATGGGCCCTTGCTCACTTGTAGGAGAGGATGTGGGGAGAAGATGACCGCCTCCCCCACTCCCAGGATTGGGACAAGCCTCTTTGCCTGGTAGCTGAGCTGCTCTGACATGGGGTGTGTGTGTTTCCTTCCCACTCTGCAGCCCCTCCAGGAGAGCCCCCCACCTGTGTGCGCGATCTCTGCAGCAGCAGCAGGGACTCATGGGAGAGGAAGTCCTCCCAGGCGATGTGGCCCTTCTGCCCGGGGTCCAGGGCCGCAAACTGCAGGCTGTGACGTTCCTTTTCATCCTCACTGCTGGGCTGCCCTGCCAGGCCCTTGTAGCGCAAGAAGTCCTCCAGGGTCAGGGTGTTCTCTGTGGAAACCCCCCCCCAATCATGGTCAGAGGAAGTGATCTCCCCCAAGGCAATGAAGCCCCTCCCCGAGTCCTCTGTCCACCAATGAGAGAGAAAGCCCCTCCCAATCTTCCCCCATTTCTTGGCTGAGACGGGGTTGGGGACCGTTCCTCCCCGGCCTCAACCACTTCTTGAAGCAGATGGGGGGGGGTCTCTACCCTGTGAAGGGGACCCCTCTGCCAGTGCTCCACCCCTGCCCTAAATGGGTCTGGGGGCCACTCCTGGCAGCCTTACCAGGCGAGATGCTGGTCTGCCGGAAGGCATCAGAGAGGGAGCTCATCTCCTCTTCCGTCAGCAGCGAGTTCAGGTTATCCTGCCCGGAAAAAAGAGAATGGTTGAAGTTACAACGCAGGTGCCCCTTTTTAGGACTGTGTTCCACCATGGGGGGAGAGAAAGGCGGGTGCCTGCTGACCCCTTCGTTGCCCCCTGTGGCCCTGCATAGCTGGATGGTCTGCCAGTCAGCTTCCCCCCCCCACTGTGGTGCCTTCTGGATGGGCTACTGTACAGACTCCCCACCCCACAATCTGCCCCACTCATTTCGCAAGCAAGATTTCACACATTGTTTTGCAGCCGTGCCCCACCGCCCTCCCTTTTTTCCCCTCTGGAAACTGCCCTGCTGTCCTCCAAATCAGGGCTGAGCAACTCCGGCCCTTTTACCACCTGTGGACTTCAACTCCCAGAATTCCAGAGCCGGAAGTCCAGCCTCCTGCTCCAGCCTCTGCTTGAACTCATCCTACGAAGTCTCTCTCCCCCCTCCCCTTAGTTTCTGGAGGATTTTCCCAACCTGCAGCTGCCTTTGTAAACATTTTCTGTCTCCTGAGAGGGAGCAGACGATTGCTCAGATGCAGGTGGTCCTCGACTTACAACAGTGACCATCTGAAGTTACGACGACACTGGAAAAAGGGATTTATGACCGTTTTTCACACAGCCATTACAGCATCCCCCAAGGCCACGTGTTCAAAATTCAGATGCTTGGCGACTGACTCGTATTTATGACTGTTGCCATGTCCCTGGGTCAGGTGATCCCCTTTTGCCGCTTTCTCACAAGAAAAGTCGAAGGGGAAGCCAGATTCACTTAACAGCTGTTGTTACTAACTTGTGATTCACTTAGCAACGGTGGCAAGAAAGGTCGTAAAATGGAGCAAAAGTCAACAACTTAGCAATAGAGACTTTGGGCTCAATTGTGGCTAAGTTCAGGATTACCTATATCAGGGGTAGGCAACCTTGGCTCTTTTATGACTCGTGGACTTCAACTCCCAGAATTCCTGAACCTGCATGGCTCAGCTTGGAAACCTCTTCTTTTTCCCTCAGCATAGCTGGCTCAGGAATTCTGGGAGTTGAAGTCCACGAGTCATAAAAGAGCCAAGGTTGCCTACCCCTGACCTATACTGACTCTCTCCCTCCCCCCCCGTATCTTCCCATAACTAAATGCACCTTGCCTCTACAACCATATATTCCCTGCCCCCTGACCCTCCCCTCTGCCATTCCCCACCCATCCCACTTCCCAAATCTTTCTCGGCACCCATCTCCCAAAAGGGGTCTGGCAAGACCAGCCCGGCTCATGCCCTCCGTGGCCTCCCTGCTCCCCTCCCAGCGGAACGGGCCAACTTGCCATGGGACAATTCAACAATTCAATGTAATTATTTAAAATAATTTAAAAAAATATTTTAATTGCTGTGATTCACATTTTATCTTCTCCCTCCTCTGGCATCCTTCCTTCCACTACTTCTTTGATATTACGGTAACTCTTGTCCTGCGGTGAGTTGTCCCACACCGAGCTGGTCAGGTGAATTGGCCGCAGTAAGCTGGCCACGGTGAGCTGTTGCAGGCCCCCTCCCAGCCCCATGGCTTACGCAGTGGTAGCAGCTCCAGCCGACGGTGGAGTGGGCCGCCTCGATGGCCTCCGAGGCCTCGTCCGGGGAGAGCAGGCCCATGCGCCGCAGGCAGCCGTCATGATAGACCTTGGTGCACACCCGGCAGGGCAGAAGGCTGTCTGCCGTCCACACCTCACAGACTTCACACATCTCCTCGTTGGTCACCTGCAGGGGGAAGGAGGGCTGGGAAAGATCCGGGAAGGGCCTTCCGGTCCTGAGAACCCAGCCCAAGTGGACGAGCCTCTTTGGGGCTCCTGGCACAGACAAGCCTCTGAACTTTGGATTGGCCAATGCCAAGAAGGAGCAAGGAGAGGACTCGGAACTACAGAGCTGGAAGGGACCTTGGAGGTCATCTAATCCAACTCCCTGCTCAAGCAGGAGACCCTCTACCATGCCAGACAAGTAGCTGTCCAGTCTCTTCTTAAAGAGCTCCAGTGTTGGAGCACCCACAATCTTTGGAGACAAACTGTTTTGGTGATTAACAGAATAATAAGAGTTGGAAGGGACCTTAGAGGTCTTCTAGTCCACCCCCCTGCACAAGGAGACCCTATCCCATGTTGGACAAGTGGCTGTCCAGTCTCTTCTTAAAATCCTCCAGTGTTGGAGCACCCAAAACTCCTGGAGGCAACTTCCACTGGTTAATTGTTCTCACTGCCACCCCACCGGGGGCCCACAGAGAATATGACTGCTGAAGCCAGGGGCCACTAAATTTGCTCTGAAAAGGATAGGTATTAATGATGAACCCCAGACAGAGGGGTTTCCAGGTTCTTTCTGGAGAGAAGCCACATTCTCGGACCACCAGCTTCAGGATCCCGGCTGGGGCCAATTGGGGCATGAAGGTGACCTGTGTCCTGGGCAGAAGGAAGCAGCTGGAAGTTGTTCTGATTCTCCCAAGCATTTCCAGTTGGTTCCACTACTTGTTCTTCCAACCACACGTGATTCCATTTCTTGTCACACATCACCCCAGATTAGGCCTTTCTCATTTGTATTTTTCGTGACCTTTTCCAGAATATTCCTCTACTTTGCAAGCCCCTACAGTCATTTTTTTCCTGTGTTAATTCACACACAGTAATTCATTTTCCTCCAGCTGTTTTGTGAGGGAGAACGGCACCAAAATGGGAGAAATGGTTTATTCTCTAATAAACCATTTCCTGTTTTGGTTCAGAAAGTCTCATTTAAGCAGGTTCACATGCAAAGATGAACCGGACAGCTCTTAGTTCATTCCTCTCCCCCTCCCAAAAGCACTTGAGATTCTGAGGGTGACAGTGATGAGAAATTTATTTAGTTTTTTGTTTTCGCTGTTTTAATATTTTTAATTGTTTTAGCATTTTAATCCACCCAGAGTCACTTGGTTAATTTGGGCAGCTATAGAAATGGAATGAATAAATGAATAGAGGACGCCCAGCTGTGAACTGGGTCTTTTTTAGGGCAGACCTTTCCAACTTGGCACTTTCCAGATGTGTTAGACAACGAACACTGAAAGCAACACATCGGGACTGTGTCATCAGGTAGTGCTAATTCTCTGGGGGAGGGGGGGGAGGGGGCAAACAACCTTTGTTCTAAATCTTCTCCTTCGGAGGAGGCTGCTTATTTGACTAATCCCGAGCTTCACCTGTTCCAGACGTGGCTGGATTTTCTATGAGGCCCCTGCAGAGATTGCTTCTGGTTCTCCCCAGCCTCAGATACATATGAGGAGAGAGAGTTTGCTTTCAGGACTGCAAGACAATTGTGCGAGAAAATCTCTCTCTCTCTCTCTCTCTCTCTCTCTCTCTCTCTCTCTCTCTCTCTCTCTCTCTCTCTCTCTCTCTCTCTCTCCCTTTCACTCTCACTCACACTCACACACACACTGCTTGGGCTGGCACAATATATTACTCAGAGTGGAGGGGTCGGGCAATATTTGGTGAGGAGTGATAGGGAACTCCAGCTATTATCTCAGTAGATTCTGCAGCTGGTCAAATCCAAGGGGGGTTGTGAAGAGAGACAAGTGGGCTTTGAGGCAAAGGCAGTTGAGGGCAAAGATGTACCGGTAGTCCGAAAGATGCTTTTTCACGAGGCAACTGGACATTCTTGTTATTTTTCTCTGAAGACCTTTCGCTTCTCATCCACTATGACCTGGGTGACTGAGAATCTCCATAGACATTTAGCTATGTACTGGTAGTCTTCAACTTATAACAGTTCATTTAGTGACCATTCAAAGTTACAACAGCACTGAAAATGATCATTCTATTCTATTCTATTCTATTCTATTCTATTCTATTCTATTTCTATTCTATTCTATTCTATTCCATCCCATCTTTATTCCATTCCATCCCATTCCATTCCCTCTTTATTCCATCCCATTCCATTCCCTCTTTATTCCATCCCATTCCATTCCATTCCTTCTTTATTCCATTCCATTCCATTCCCTCCCCTCTTTATTCTATTCCATTGCATTCCATTCTTCCCTCTTTATTCCATTGCATTCCATTCTTCCCTCTTTATTCTATTGCATTCCCTCTTTATTCCATTCCATTCCCTTTATTCCATTCCATTCCCTTTATTCCATTCCATTCTTCCCTCTTTATTCTACTGCATTCCCTTTATTCCATTCCATTCCCTTTATTCCATTCCATTCCCTTTATTCCATTCCATTCTTCCCTCTTTATTCCATTGCATTCCATTCTTCCCTCTTTATTCTATTGCATTCCCTTTATTCCATTCCATTCCCTTTATTCCATTCCATTCCCTTTATTCCATTCCATTCTTCCCTCTTTATTCTACTGCATTCCCTTTATTCCATTCCATTCCCTTTATTCCATTCCATTCCCTTTATTCCATTCCATTCTTCCCTCTTTATTCCATTGCATTCCATTCTTCCCTCTTTATTCTATTGCATTCCCTCTTTATTCCATTCCATTCCCTCTTTATTCCATTCCATTCCCTCTTTATTCTATTCCATTGCATTCCATTCTTCCCTCTTTATTACATTGCATTCCATTCTTCCCTCTTTATTCCATTCCATTCCCTCTTTATTCCATTCCATTCCCTTTATTCTATTCCATTGCATTCCATTCTTCCCTCTTTATTACATTGCATTCCATTCTTCCCTCTTTATTCCATTCCATTCCCTCTTTATTCTATTCCATTCCGTTCCATTCCATTCCATTCCATTCCATTTTCACACTTACAACCATTGCAGCATTCCCAGGGTCATCAAAATTCAGACGCTTGTCAAATGGCTCCTATTTACAACGGCTACAGTGTCCCAGGGTCACATGATTGCCTTTTGCCATCTTCTTTATAAGCAAAGTGAATGGGGAGGCCAGATTCACTTAACAGCTTAACTTAGCAACTGCAGAGATTCACTTAAGAAAGACCATAGCAAGAGAGATCATAAAACGGGGGGAACAATATTTAAAAACGTATCTCACTTAGCAACAGAAATTTTGGGCTCCTTGACTTATGACCCAAATGGTGGTCATAAGCTGAGGAGTACCTGTATCAGGGATGCAGACTGGCAGCATCACTGGATTTATACATTAAGAGGGTTTGGGCCTGCCGTGACTGATTGGAAAGCGGCTTTGAAGTCACGAAGGAGGACAGAATGATGAAAAGGGCAATCAGCTTCAGGGCTATCCCACAAAAACGGGGAATTTCATGCTTGGAATCCTCCAGAGAGGAGGGATCCTTGCAAAGAGAAAGAAGGATCCACAGCCAAGCCTTGAAGCAAATTAGCAGCAAAGCTACACTCGGTAGGCTCTCTTCCATTCTGGGCACTGCATCTTAAGGAA